GGGAAAGGCCCCTTCCCTCTGCTGGCTGAAGCACCAGCAGTGTGAGTGGGGGCTGTGTCACCAGGTGCTTTCCATGCGCTGGCCCTGCTTTGGGGGCTTACACTGTGATGGTTCCCTGGAGAGGGAGTGGGTGGAGGGAGCGTTACCCTTTGCTCTGAGGCCTGGTCCACAAAGCAGTGGGCATCCAAGGAGGCTGATGCTGCCGGTGAAGGAACTGCCTTCTCTTGGAATCAGTGGCAGCTCTGCTGGCCTGGGTCGGTCAAGAGCAAGGGGAGTGGAGCGCAACCGGTGAGCTTCCTGGACAGCCAGGGAATCCACCCCCGTGACCACCTAAGAAACGGAGCCCTTCCTCTAATGACTGTGTACATAGTTTCTCAGTATTTCTTAACCTCGTAAGTTTTACTGTCCTACGGGGAACGCTCCTCACACCTTTGCCGTGGCTGCCTCTGTCCGCACGGTGGTTCCTCGGGAGCAGGCGCCCGCACCCCTTGGGGCAGCGCTCTTCCTCCATGGAGATCGGGAAGGACGCTGGGGCAGCGGTCCTTGTTACCTTTTTTTTTTTTTTTAATTATTTGGGACAGACTGGTGCTTTGATTTTAATAAAAACTAACTTTGATGGATTCTTCCTGTGACTCTTTTCCCACCATCGAGGATTCTATGGAGAGGTTACTGTGTCATTCCGCAGGACCCTCACTGGTCTGAGAGGCCTTGGTGCCTCCAGCAGTCATGTCGCCGGCACATGTAGGGAACAAGCTGCTGGCCCACGAGTACTCTAGGAAGCCATGCACATTGCTATGGTCAAAACGTGCAATTCTCTGTTTTTCTGCCAGCTTCCAAGGATAACAGATGACTTTTCCAATCAAGCCATCCTCTGAAAGGTAGGCTACGATGCCCGGGGTGAGGAGTGGGTAGGTGGGAGAGAGTAGCCGAGAGTGGGTCACTCTTGTGTGTGCTGTGTGCATCTCGCCACCCAGCCTGGAAGGTAGCTTAGGGTTAGGGTGGGGGGACAGTCTGCTCCTGCTGCGTGCACACACTTCTCAGGGTCCTCGAGGTCTGCCTGCCGTCCTAGAGTGGGTCTCCCTCCGCTGGGCTCAGACGTCCCCGAGAGGATCTGACATCCAGCAAACAAAGTAAACACAGTAGTTTCCCTCAACAGGGAGAAATAAAGGTATTTGCAGACAAGGAAAAGTAGAAGGAATTTGTATAAACAAGACCAGTTTTACCAAAAAAATATGAAGGGGAAGGGAGAGCCTTTGGATAAAGATTTAACAAGAACATAAACCTAAGAGGTCAGTGATACCAGGACATGACTCGGCAGTCAAGCCACCACAAGTATATCAAGGAAGACAAATGCAAGGGAAATAGGTAAGTAGGTGGAAGTCACTCCATGGAAAAGAGATGAGTGGTTCGCAGATCCCGCTTTAGATCTGGGAAGCAAACAAAAGGGCGTAGAAGCGGTTCACCCCACCTGGATCCTACCACCCTGGACAGATCAGCCTCTCAAAATGGTGGCTTCTGCTGTAATAGCCCTGCCTGGTACCTCCTGATCTCTGGGGACCGAACCCAGCCCCACAGGGCTTGGCGGACTTCCACAAGTAGGTAGCCATGGCCACACAGACATGGTGTTGGGCATATCCGGTTCAGTGCTTAGGGAACCCCACCACAGCTACTGATGTTGGCTGACCAGACTCAGAAGCATGGGTGGCAGCTGTGGAAATGACAATGAGGCCTCCAACCCCCCCTATCCACTGATTTTACCTCTAAGTTGTGGGGAGCCCCTGCTTCATACCTTTCCGTAAGGAGTTGTAGTGTGAAGTGTGGCAGTAGGCCTCCATGGGCCCCGGCATCACTGCACCATAGGTCCCATGGCCTGGCATCTCCGCACCACTAGACTTCCAGTGTAGCTGGGGCCCTTCGCCTGGTCAGCCAGGGAGGCCCCAAGTGGCCATCCTCAATGGAAGGGAGCTGGCCTCTCGCCCCCCACCAGTAAGAAACCCAAACCACTAGAAAGGAAGCAGAAGCCGTAGTTTTCTCTGCACTGCCGCCTCACCGAGGGGCCACGCCAACACGTGCGGGGTCTTCAGGCAAGGTTGCGTAGTTCCATGATAGTTCCTCTGCATGGTAACAGGTATTGAAATGACCTCGTAAAGTAACAAAGCTAGAGATTAAAATATCTGGTAACTATTTGACTAGGCGGCCCCCTCCGAGTATCTGACACTGTTGGCTCATCGGAGCTGCAGGTGGTTTCAAACTGCCGAGCCTACGACTTACAGCCCAACTCGTAACCACTACACACCACCAGGGCTGGTTTAGGCGTGTTTATTGATGAGATTGTGTTTACATGGAGGCCACCGTTGAAAGGAAAGGGTTCATTTTTGTGTTACGATGTTGTGAAAGGCATGGTGATGCCAGCTCACACTCTTGTCTCTGATACAAAAATCCCAGCACCAACGCATGACGGGGTTGTCTGAGCATTTATTCATTAAGACAGCATACTTTTACAGTAAGCTTTTTATAAAAGTTATTGACATCTTTTATGGCTGAGATAAGTGCACCACTTCCTACCCCACGCCCACTAGTCTTTGAATACAGAATCCATTGCCTGATCACCTAGTCAACTACAGATAACAGTGAAGAGAGAAAGGCCACCAGTCCGTGAGCAAGAGACCGCTCCTCCTCCATGTGCTGGTCTTCATTTGACTTGCTAGAAGAGGAAAAGGTGATTTAAGAAATCAGTCACACGCTCATAAAGCCCACTCATGCTCAGCTGTCTGGTAGGTAAACTAGGACCCAGCAAAGACTTAACCTTTGTGTACCTGAAAGTGTGCTATCTTTATCATTCAGTTTTTCTAAGTTTAGGCATCTTCATGAGGACTTGATTGGATTTCTGATTGACCAAACACGACCCACTATCATGGAATCCATTTCAACACCTTGCAGAACAGAAGTGCCCCACTGGGTTTCTGAGGCTGTCAGTCATGGAGCAGAAAGCCTCACCTTCCAAGGAAGGGAGCATCTGGTGAGTTCACACTGACCTTGCAATTAGCCCAACACAACCCACTGCAAGACCAAGCTGACCAGGCTAGTCAGAATGAATGAGCTCCGCAAAGGTAAAACAATCGGTACTTACTGGCTTGCCTCATCCAATTACTGGGGTGTCGCATGGTTTGGAAGGGGGCTGTGTTTTAGGCAAACCCCTTCAATCCTCTAGAATCTAGAGGTCTTTGCAGTTAGACTTTGTTAAATGATTACCCATGCTGAGCTTGAACTGAACTTGTGTTCCCACCCAAGAACTTGCAGTAACCAGCTGGGCACTTGACTGAACCTACTGTGACGGTTATGAAAAGGATGGTCCTTAGGCCTGGTAGCAGACCCAAGGCCATGCCACCGCAGCCCAGCCCTTGTTAGTGAAGGAGTGTGGCTCCAACTGCAAGGCCATCAGGCTCACTAGGTGGCATGCCAGGCTTGCTTTATAGAGGTTGTGACTTGTAACCCTACATTAGCATGGCCTGAACCACTACTGCCCAAGTCCACAGGGAGCCTCACAGTGTTTGTCCCCCATGCCCCACCACTTGATGGCATGCCCTTCCCACAAGCCCCTCTGCCTGCCTGTTCCTCGGTTTCCTCTTGTTCAGAAGGGTGTGATGGCCCCATCAAGTCATCTAGTTCTAAGTGGCTCCCAGCTGTCACTGACTGGCTGCCTCTCCAAGCCCGCAGCCCACAACCAGGATCCCTAACCACTGGGCAGCTCATCTAACCTGAGGTCACAATGAGCACCTTTTGACCTAGGGTCAAACCCAGAAGAGTCCTGTGCTGATTGTTTTGTTTGTTTTTTCCCGTCCCATTCTTGTTAGGCGCTTCTGAGTCAGTGTTGACTCAGCAACCATCTGTACAATATGGGGGTACCAAGAAGAAAACCCTGAATTCTCCCACCCCAAAGCTTTGCATTCTGTTACAAAACAAAACCTTATCACCTTCAAAGTGCTCTCCATTACACTTAATACTTCAGTCAAATTTGCGATCCCACTCTTGGAAACATTTTTCAAACTCTTCTGTTTGGATGGCTGATAGCACCGCTCTTGTTTATTTCTTTACCTCTTCCTACATCATCATATTGCTGTCCTTTCATGTCCCTTTTCATTCACAAAAGCAAGAAGGTGCATGGATCAAGGTCAGTTGAGTCCAGTGTGTGGGAAGAGAGGCATGCTGTTTTGCCAAAACTGGCTCATTGAGAGGGCTGTGAGCAGGTGCATTGTTGTGGCAAAACCAGTCCCGTCTGCCACAAATCAGGCTTTTTTTGTCACTGTCTTTTCAGAGCCTCTATATAGAAAGCTTGATTAATATCCCCCTCACATCAAGAAAACAAAGCATCGTCTTGATCTTTGATTTCAGTTGACTTTTTTTTTTGATGAAGTGACGATGGTGCCTTCCATTGGCTTGATTAATGTTTGCTTGGGATCAGAATCAGCCCCAGGTCTCCACACCATTAATGACCTTGGTAAAAAAAAAAGTCTGGGTTGCTTCAGGGATGTTCTTTCAAAGCGTGGCATGTTTCCACTCTACACTTTATCCTGTTCACTCAGAGCCTAAGGCACAGGTTTCCCAGCAGTCCGTCTCATTCCTAAATCTTACATTACAGTTCACTGAACCGAGCTCCAAGAAAGTCCAGATAACTTCCCCATCTCTTCATTGGTCCCTCGTGGGTCTTTGAGCACAAGTGCATGGATTTTGTCAACATTTTCAGCCATTTGGGGTCGTCCAGAACAAGGTTTGTCATCAACATTTCACCTCTTATGAAATGAGAAAACCACTCGTACACTTGAGGTTTTCCCACAGCACTGCCCTTGTTAGCTGTGTTCAGGATCTGTGACGTTTTTCCCAAGCAGGAAACAAAGTTCCACAGCCACATGCTGTGCTCTTACGTTGGCGTTCACACACAAAAACCGAGGTCCAAGTGAAACAGCTTTTAGGAAGAAACGCTGACCAGAGAGAACCGTCCCAGGCGAAGCCACTGGGTGCACTAGCTCAGAGCTGGGTGCACTTGCTCGATGCTCGCCTAGCTGGAAAAATAAGTACTACGGAAATTTTTCTGGTGTTTTGGGAGTACAAAACATTGACAAGACATTGCCCGGTCCTGTGCCACCCGCACAGTTGTTAAGTGCGAGCCCATTGTTGCAGCCACTGGGTCCATCTCATCTTGTTGAGGGGCTTCCTCTTTTTCCATGTCGCTCTACCAAGCCTGGTTCCCTTCTTCAGGGACTGGTCTCCCTGGGAGCCCCGGTGGCATAGTGCTTGCACATTGGACAGTTTGAAGCCACCAGCTGCTTGGGGGGAGCAAGATGGCGCTGCAACTGTGAAGAACAGCCTTGGAAACCCGCAGGGCACTTCTACTCTGCCCTGTAGGGTCTCTCTGGGTTGGCATCGACTTGATGGCAGTGAGTTTGGTTTTGTCTCCTGACACCTGGTCCAAAGTACAGGAGACGAAGCCTCGCCATTTGTTCCTTCTGAGAGCCTGCTAGCTGTGTGTCACACAGATTTACTCCTTTTTCCATGTTCATTCAGTAATTACTTGTGGAGCCTACCTTACCCACCCACCACCACCAATGTGTCTCCCCAACCATGAGGACCTGCTGTTCAGTCTACCGAGGGGAGATAGGGGATGGGCACAGTGCTTGGCAGCTAACCAAAATGTCTATGGTTGGAGCCCCCTCGGGACTCGACAGGAGAAAGGCTTGATGATCTCAGAGAAATTTACAGTCTTAGGGCTCCTGTGGAGCAGCCCTGCTCTGTCACACAGGGCCAGTGGGAATCCCGACCAACCCAACAGTGGGCAGCAGGTGTCTTGAGACCCTATAGTCCCAAAGGCAGTGAGTGGCATTCCTGTCCCCGGTCCCCTCCACTCTGCAGCAAAGCTCCCTTCCAAGGGAAGTAGTCAGAGGGAGAACATCACCATCCCACCTCATCATCCTGCTCAAGTGACAACTGCAGTGAACAGCGTGGGTGACAGCGTCACACTCAAAAGCCAGCTGCAGGAAGAAGTGGGGACCTCAGACCTGCTGTCAAAGGATTCTTCCACCCAGCCAGCCGGGAGGAAGGCCGGCCGCCAGGGGCATTGGCTTACCTGCAGGGCCCGGCCTTTGGTCTCGATGGGGAGTGTGAAGGCGGAGATGGCGCACACCACACAGACGGAGGCGAACAGACACAGGGCCCCCAGGATCGAGGCGCTCATGAGGACCTGCAGGTCACAGGGAGGGACAGCCAATATATAAATGTCCTGACTGCTCCGGGCCAAGCTGGGTAGGCATTTGAGCTGGGATGTGGGGCATCTGTCTGAAGCAGCAGCTTTCCCACCCACCCTCTGCCTTGGTGCTGTGTCCCCAAGCACCCTGTTCCCCTGCTGTCCTGGCGAGAGTGGCTTGGGCAGAGATGTCCTCTCCACAGAGAAGACCACTGTACATGTTTCTGTGTAAAATGCTGCCCGGCTGACAGCCAGTCCAGCCCTGCAGCGTGTCTGTGCCCGCTGTGCGGGTGGCTCCCTGCCCATCTCTGGGCTGACCCTCCCTCCCTGGGCCTGGGGAGCCTGAGCAAGCTCCTCACGCCCCAGCTTCCCCCAACTGTGCTCCAGACCCTCGCCTCTTCCTCTCTGGGTTGTGGCAGTTAGGGACTCTGGGGCAGTGAGGAAGAGGAAGAGCTTCCCCAAGGTGGACAGACTGCATCGACGGGCTCCGACGTCAGAAACACCGTGAGTGTGGCAAGGGCCTGGTGGTGCTTTGTGCTGCTGTGTGTAGTAGGGTCGCAGTGAGTTGGAACCGTCTGACTGGAACTTCCCAACAACCACACAAGAGCTAGGGCAGGTCAGGGTTTCTCTCGGCCATGGGGGGCTTCCTTCAGGAGAAGATGAACCATCACTAATGGGGACCTGGTTTCAGCCAGCGAGAAAACCCCACAGGAGGAGGAAGCAATGAGCGTTCTGCATGCTCTGGAGTTCCTGGGTGGTACAAACTGCTAGGCGTCCCACTCCTAACTTGGCATTTCGAATCCACTCAGGGTGCCTCAAAAAAAGGCCTGGTCAACTACTTCCCCCCAAAAGTAAACAACCGACAGACAGACATGAAAACCCTGTGATGTGGCACTGCCATCCATCCGAGCTGCCGGGGCAACCAGTTCGGTGTTTGGATTGGGGAGCCACTAGAACAAGAAGTCTCCAGTTCACGAAGGAGGGGGGTGGGGGCAGGAGAGAGGCCAAGAGGATGCTGGTTACTAGAGCCCCGTCAAGCACCTCGAGGGGTTTAGTCTCTCGCTATGAATAAGAGGGTGAGGAGCGGAGAGCAAGTAGACCTCCTCATAGGCAGGAGCCCTGGTGGCATAGTGGTCTAGGCCTTGGGCTTCTAAGTGCAAGGTCAGAAGTTCCAACCCACCAGCTGCTCCTCCGGAGAAATACCAGGCTGTCTGCTCCCAGAGAATCACAGTCTCAGAAACCCACAGGGGCAGTGCCACTCAGTCCTACCGAGTCACTCAGCACTGACTGGATGGCAGTGAGTTTGGTCTGTTGGTTCATGTGTGCAAGGGAAAGGGGAGTTGAAAGGGAACACACAGGTGGACAGAAAAGGACCCACCAGCAGGTACATTGAGAGTCTAAAAGCAGAGATCCAGGGGTAGGATGTCACAATCTTTTCTCAGAGGGTCTTCTGCGGCTGAACAGATCCCACTCGTGACAGCCCACACCCAAGGGGTCTTGGTCCCCACCATCACGGAAATATCTTTACATCATTGTCCGCCCCCAGAGCAGAAATGATTGAGAAAGATTTTTTTCTTAACGTCATTTGAGTCAAGTGACATAGGTGTTGGACACGGGAATTTCCCACAGTTGTAAGAAGCAAGCAAGGACCTGCTCTGTGAAGAACGTCTTCCCTGTGAGCACATCCAGATCACTGATTTGGGCACCAGACTGAACACTGCTCCAAGCCAAGATTCCCTCATCAGCGCTTAGAAGCTCTGAACCTGTCCTCCTTCAGGTTGAGAGAAGGAAAACACAAAAACTCTAAAACCGAACCCCATTGGCTGAGGCATTTAGAGTGCAGCTCAGCTTAGATCACTATTATTGCCTATGAAATTTCAAATTGGCCTTGGTTGAGAAAGTAAATATAGTAGCAGATGACCCCCAAAACTTGCCCTGATACTGTCTGTAACTATCCTATAATAAGCCCTTAAGCAAACATGCAATCTCTTTTCTGTGCAACACCTGCTGATGTAGTGGTTATGCATTGGGCTATGATCTTCAATGAGGTCTGCAGTTCAAAACCACCAGCCGCTCTAAGGAAGAAAGACGGGGCTCTCTACTCCCATAAACAGTTATAGCTACAGAAACTAGTGACCTCATTACTCCATCCAGAGCATGGTAGTTACATAATTTTGTGTCAACTTGATAAGTGTAGGGGAGGGGTCTAGCTTGTCAATCGGGTCACAGCCTGATTGACCCCTCCTCATGGGCGTTACCTCATGAGGATTCTGGGAACTTCCTAGCGGTGGGACCAACTCTTACTTTGCTACACACTCCCATTGACAAGTCACTTGGAGTGACACATGGCAGCCACGTGGAGACCCATGCCACTGCTGGATCCACAAGACTTCCCACCCACTGGCCTGTGACCTCCCTACATTTGATGTCATTGCATGAGTCTAAAGAGGAATTTGTGGACTAGTATCGGACATATGGGCTAATATCAGACTTATGGACTTGATCTGGACTGGTCTGAGATATTTTTTTTCAATATATGATTGCTTTTTTATATAAAACTCTTACACACATGAGTGTCTCAGGATTGGTTTCTGTAGTCAACCCAGACTAACACACAGGCGTTCCTTCAACCTTACCTCCCCGCTCTAAGGATAGATGGCTGCACCCTCCTTGCCCAACACCCTTCCCAAGCTCCCAGCACCTACGTCCCTGTGGCAGTCCTCCCACCACCTCAGCTGCTCCTCCCTGGCATCTCTCTCTCTGCTCTGTCCATATTTGTTGGCAGTTTCTTGTTCTACCAAACCAAACTCACTGCCATCAAGTCAATGCTGACCCATAGCCACCCTACTGGACAGCGTACAACTAGCCCTGTGAGTGTCTAAGACTACAACTATGCAAGAGTAGAAAGCCTGACTTTCCTGAGGAGTGACTGGTGGTTTCAAACCACTGATCTTGAAGTTAGCAGCCCAATGTGTAGCCACCATACCACCAGAGTCCCTTACTAATTAGAAAGTCACAAGAGAAGTTACACTGGAAGGAATCTATTCACAGTAGCAACAGAAGCCATGAAAGACCTAGGGATAAACTCAAGACAGGCTGGTCTATCTGAAGAATAGTAGTCCAGGAAGGAGCACAGGAAGTGCGGAAGAAAGACCTGTTCTCAGGGAGAAAGCCATACTATCCAAGCAAACAGCTCGCTGCCCCAGCCCACACGTGGAAGGAATTCACCATTAAACCCGCGCTAGGGTCTGGGCAAGCAAGGGAGGCCGGCCACAGCAGAGTGAGTCTAGCTAGTGTCTCAGAAGCACAGGCTGTGGCTGGGCCATGTCAACTTTGTAACCGGACTATGAATCTCACCCGAGTGATGCGAAGAAGAGGACAGTGGCAGACCGGGCACATCATCGGCAGAAAAAGACGGGGCCACTGTGGGCATACACCAAACACACCCCTGCCCATCCCTGCTGGTCGGTGGCCATTTGTTCTGTGCAGGAATTTCAGTTTGCTGTGCTGCCTGACTGCATGCCTGTTCCTAGAGCTCTAGACTATAAACAGAAAGGGCTGCCCAGAGTGTCAGAGGCCTCCCTGCACTTGGCAGTGTGAGATGGGTGTTGCTAGCTGTCAACCAGGTGGTCAGACTCCCAGTGACCCTGTGCTCCACAGGAGGATAGGCTGCCTGGTGACAGACAGGCATGTTTCCACCAACCTTAGATCCACCTGTCTCTGCACCCATCAACCTGTGACCTTACTGCATTCTGCACCATGGCATGGGGTTGCATGAGTCTAAAAAGGACTTAAGGATTTTTGAACTTGAGTTGGACTGGGCTGGGATGCTTCCTTGATATGTAATTAGTATTTGATATGAAGCTCTTTTTATACTCAGGTGAGTGTCATGATTTGTTTCTCTACTCAGCCTGGCCTACCATACATTATAGCCACACATAGGCCTCTGCAGATGGGTGGGCAGTGGCTGAGCACCAGGTGCAGGGTTGGTACTGAGCCTGGGTTTCTCGTATGGAAGGGGAGAGTTCTTCCCCTGAGCCCCGCGCCCCTCAGTTCGTGGTAGCAAACACCCCCATCAAAGTGTCACAGGTGCATGACCCAGTCTGCTCAGCCTGCCCAGCCCTCGCCCCTTGCTCTGAGAACTACTCAAATACACGTACACAGAGAGACCTCCACACACACATGCACACACAGAAACCTACGGAGAGAAAGAGATTCACCTAGACACACACCTGACTGCTGACCACATTTGATTCAGTTCTCCCATGGACAATAGTTGGCCTGGGCCAGCCAAGTCCCTTTCTGGAGACTCAGAACCTGGCATTGCCCGTGAGGAGTTGGGTCTGGGCACACGGGGTTGGGATGTGGGGCCACCTTGTACACAGGCCAACAGGGTGCTAACCCTCATCAAGGTGGGGTGGCTACGACATGCTTAGGGGGGTTGAGGTGACTGGGCTAGGTTTCTGGCAGCCCACCCCAGGACCCAGCCTGTGACCAGAGTCAGCTCAGGGGCTCGCTGCTGCTGTGGTCAAAGAATGACCAGGCTGCAGACCACAAGCCTGGCAAAAAAGAGGGGGAATTGGGGGGAAGAACATGCCTCGTGTTTCTCAAACTCAGAAGCCACAGCTCTGCAGGTCTCCTGTCTCCCTCCTAAACTGGCCGGGCCCACCAACCCAGGTCACCTGGATTTTAAACCCACCTGTCCCTGCCACTACCTTCATAAGGACCTCATGGAACAAAACATGTCTGGATTGTTGAATGGAAAACCAACTTGCTCTGTAAACTCCCACCAGATCACAATAAAGAGGCTTCAAGAAGAGTAAACTGAAGTCCACAGGAGTCCTAAGGTCTAGTCTTAATCCACAGAGACCCTGTCTCTCGCCTGCCCCATGGGAAACACAGCAAAACAAAACAGACCAGCAACCCAAACCCACAATGCTCATGGCAACTTCACAGCTACAGAGAAGACCTGCTCCACCCGTTGTTCCTGGCTGCCATCTTTACAGGTGTCCGTCAGCCAGCTTTGCCTCTGGCTGGATCACCCTCTCTGCAGAGCCCCAGGACCCTCTGCCCCTGCCGCCATCCCCTGGCAGACTGGTCATACCTGAGCTATAAAGGGTGCCATCATCGCACCAATGCGACACAGGGAGCCGCTGGTCCCCATCCCCAAGGCACGCATGGTGGTGGGGTAGACCTGTAAGGGTGGAAGCAGAGGGGACCACTTAGTGAGTCTGTGTCTCTTCTTTCTTAGCTCCTCCTCCTCCTCCCACCCCCTCCACCCCCAATCAAGTTTTGGACAGAAAGATCAATTCTTGACCCCAACACAAGATTCCCACCTTTGAGTTACTCATGCATCAGAGCAATCCCACAGAGGGATTGACTCAGGCATGCTGGACAGAACTGAGTGGCAAACAAGGGGAAGGGTGCATTGCACACTGCCCTTCCGCGATACTGGATCCTGGCCCTTCTGAGTCTCGCCGCACCCTCTACTCCAGCTGCCGCGTGTACACATTTGTAGGAAAGCCACACATTGCCTGAGAGGTACCGAGTGTCTGCTCGGGGTATGGACACTCCGAAAGTAGCTGATGGTGATGGTCACCCAACAGGGTGAATGTGACCCCGGCCAGTGACTGTCCACTGAAAACTGGCTGAAATGGGAGAGTGTCTTATCTCTCCCTTACCACAATAAAAATAAACAGCAACAAAGTATCATATAGCTTCATGTGGACGGACATCAAAATATCCCCTAAAGTATTCTTGAAACCAAGTGGTCATTGAACTGAATGAGTACAGTGTGTCTGCCCCGAGTGCTATGATTTTTCCAGATCTGTCTACAGGGCATCGAAGTCACAGAGCAACTGGAAAATTAGGAGACTCGGCAAGGGTTGGGGGGGGGGCACCATTTGGAAAAGGAAGGTGTGAGTTGCTTACAGAATCAACAAATGCAATCTGCAGCGTCGATTGTGTATGGAGTAAGGGTCAGATCAGTGTCTGTTTTTCTGTGTATATTTTCAACAATGGCAAGAAGCCAAATCAAAAATGTCAAACAAGTCAACGGCAGCCAAGTGTTACCGATTGCATTATGCCTCCCCCACTGCAACATGTGTTGAAACCCATGTGCCTTTGAAACTGGCATTTGAATGTGGACCGACGGAGGGGAATGAGCGGAATGATGGCATGAAAGACCGAACAGGGGATCTCAAAGGGCGGCTCAGGAAGACCAGGTGTTGTCATGGAACGTGCCGAGCCCTGGAATTAGGGAACCAAAAGCGAAGGACACGACTGGCATTTCTCAAGCAGAAAAAATGAAGACAAAACTCAAGCCTGGAGTTGCAATCTCCTATGAAGGGACTTCAAACAAGTTCGTGGAAAAGGGGAAATGGGCAAGGGAGAGGGAAACTTTCCATGGACTATTTGAACCCCCTTCTATGGGCAGAATACCACAGGAGCATCAAAAGAAGGGGGAAGGAATACACAGAGTTCACCATAAAAAGAATTTGTCGACATTCAACCATTCATTTCAGGAGGTACCATATGATCAACCAACAATGGTACTGAAGGAAGATGTCCAAGCTGCACGGAAGGCATTGACAAAAAGACGGGGCTGGAGGGATTGATGAAATAACCACTGAGCTTTCAACAGCAGCAACCTTGAAGCTGCTCACTTATCTATGCCAAGACATCTGGAAGACAGCTACCTGGCCAACTGGCTGGGAGAGATCCACATTAGTGCCCACTCCAAAGAAAGGTGAACCCACAGACTATGGGAGTTATTGGACAATAGCGTTAATACCACACTCCAGTAAGTCTTCCTGAAGAGAATTCCATGGCGGTTGCAGCAGGAGCTCAGCAGAAAGCTGCCAGAAATTCAGATGAAAGGATGCGGAATGAGAGATCGCGTCTCTGATGTCAGATGGAGCTTGGCTGGAAGCAGGGGATATCAGAAAGATATACTTGTGTTTTATTGACTATGCAAAGGCATTTGGCCGTGTGGAATACACCAACCCGCAGATGGTCTTGAGAAACTCCAGAATGCCTTTGGGTGTTCACATGAGAAATCTGTCCATAGACCAAGGAGTAGTCATGAGACTCATTAAACAATGCCAAATGCAGACGACAAACTTGCCTGCTGAAAGCCAAGAGGACCAGACTACAGATCACACTTCCAATACCCATCACAGCTCAATGTAAAGAAACCAAAACCTCTCACAGCTGGACCAACAGACAATGTCGTGATAAATAGGGGAAAGATCAAAGTTGGCAAAGATTTCATTTCACTTGGCTCTACAACCAACATTTATGGAAGCAGCAGAAATCGAAGGTGAATCTGCTGCATAAGACCTCTTCTTCTGCTTCCATAAATGGTTGTAGAGCCTGTTCTTGGCTTCGAGGTGCTAAAGAGCAAGGAGGTCACTTTGAGGACGAAAGCGTGCCTGACCCAACCCATGGGAATTTTTATCTCGCGATGCCTATGAAAGCTGGACCACGAAGAGAGAAGCCGGAAACAGCAGCTCTGCATTTGAGCGATGGAGTCGGAGAGATGATCGGAAGTCCCAGGGACTGCCTGAATAACAAGCACATCTGTTCTGGAAGAAGTGCAGCCAGAATGGATGGCAAAACGCAATCTCGTATACGTTGGACATGTGAGCAGGAGGGACCAGTCTGCAGAAGAGCATCGTGCTTGGTAGAGTCGAGGGGCCAGGACAAAGAGGAAGACTCATGGAGATGGAGTGACACAGTGGCTGCGACAATGGGCTCAATGAAACATAATTGTGAGGACGGCCCAGGGCCAGGCAGTGTTCATGTGGTAAGTAAGTGCCAGTGGGAACGGACTCAAGGACACCTGACAACAACCTACCTGTAGTTGTAATCCCACCTGGGGATGGGTTGTCTGTTATATGAATGAGACAGGGTTAGTGTCAGGGTACAGCGTGAGTCAAGCTTGATGGAAGAGAGAATTAAATAGCCAGGAGGAGACGAAGCAGAGATGGGGGAGACAGAGGCCAACATGAAGATCACCCAGGAGCAGAAACAAGTGCCTTCCTCCAGATCCCAGAGAGAGAGAGACCCTTCCCCTAGTGCTGGCACCCTGGGTGGGAACTTCAAGCCTCCTCAGCTGTGGGACAATACACTTCTGTGCTAATGTCACCCAGGTGCAGTGTTTCTGTTCACAGTGGCACCAGGGACCTGTGGCTCATGGACAGATGCCCTCTCTAAGTCACCTGCTGCCACAGGCAGCCCCACAGAAGCTGACCTCAGCCGTGTAGATGTAGATGGTGTTGAAGTTGGCGGCCACTAACGCTCTCAGCATGAAGAGGAAGCCGATGAGCCCAGAGCTGGGGAACAGGAGGAGAGAGATCATGGGTGGCCAGGTCCCAGTGGGCTGACAGGAACACGCACCACAGAGAACCCAGACCCCAGGGGCACCCCAAACCAAATCCCTGACCCTAGCCCTTCTCCTGCTCTGTCTGTCCCTGGGGTGCCATTCCACACCACAGACAGAGTGCTTACAAACTGCGGAGGAAATGACGGGCTGGACTGGAGGCCAAGCTGGGGTTGCAAAGTAAAGGCCAGTGTTTCCTCATCCCACAGGGGCACTCTCTGTGTGAATCCCGGG